GGAGGAGCTTGACTGTTAATTTTTAACGTAGATGTATTAACACCTCAGTCGACAAAAGTTAGATCATTCTGGAAGACAATCAACGCCACCCCCTCCCTCCCTCCTCCTCTCCCACTCTAACCTCTCAGTAAATCGCGACAAACTTCCTACAGAACACTATTGGCCGAAACTCGACCAATCGGAGAACTTCATTCCGGACTGCAAAACATTATGTTCCTTTTCTTTTGTTAAAAAAATAAAAAATAAAAGTAGGTGTTTTTCAAACCCCCTTCAACACACTATACAATGTAGATAATGAAAAACTCAAAAAGCCAACGCTGTCACCTACCAGCTCGCACACCTCCTATGTCATCCAAGCATCTCCATGGACACAAAGAGACAGCTTATCACCTCAATATTCATACCAACATTATGTTATCAGTGCCAGATCTGGAAATAGGAGCAAAACCCACGAAAGCAAAATCACCGCATGTGAAAAGAAATGTCTCCACAAAACCCTTAACTTCACAAGACAAGACAGGCAATGAAATGAAGAAGTAAGAGCAGCTGTCGGCACTGAGTCCTGCCTGCGTTACATAGAAAGACAGAGGATAAAATGGTTTGGCCACCTGTTACATATATTATATGTCACCTGACCAGCCAGCTTCGAGAGCCTACAACACCAAGCACTCAGGCTATAAAGGAAGAGGAAGGCCACGCAAAAGGTGGATCGAGGGTGTCAAGGAAACCCTAAGAAAACATAACATCACTACTGAAAGAGCTGCGGAGCTGGCCTACCTTAGAAAACTGCGTCTCCCCTCGACGCTTGACGGCAACAGAGGACGAAAAAGTAAAAGTAAAAGGTGAGGTAGGATAATGAAGGAAGCGGGCTCCAGATCCAGCCTATCAGGATGAACCCAGGCTGTATTTTGTGTATAAGTTAGTCATTAAGTGTATGAGTTTAACATCCTCTATCAACGCTATTCGGTTGTTTAACCCTATCCGTACGCCCTGGGATCATTTTGTACTCCCGGGATTGTATTCTTCACATTTTAGAATACTTCTAGTTCGAAGATCTCTTTGAAACTTTCAGTATTTCTCAAAAAATCATTTTGGCAGACTGCTATGCAAAGCGTACGGATCGGATTAACGAGTAAATTTCCCACGTCGTATGGATACGATAGTAAAACACGACGTATGGACAGGGTTAAGTGTTAGCTTTAGCAAGGTTTTACGGCGCTCGCAACTGCATATGGTCATATGAGAACGAAGGGAAGGATGTCAGCAGAGAAATCCAAATGGGGAATCAGACTTACTCTGCTCACCTCTCTAGCCCCAACAGCACAAAGTCTGCTTCGACTATCAAGGCACCCCGGAAATAGCAGTTAACAAGACAAACATAAAAGAAGTAAAGCAAAAATGACGGCAGTAAGGATGAGGAAAGAAAAAGCAGCAGTTCCCTGTTGCACTTGAGGCACAGTTACGAGCATGACATTGATAAATCTGTCCATTTATAATTCGATAGTGCATAACAACATGATAATACCCCCCCCCCCCCTTTGGGAATGGCTAAAGACATTATTTTCTTTGCAATAATCTTTGCGCACATTTCTGCTTAGTCTGGTGTCGATTTTATCTTAAAAATAAGTCGGGTAAAAAGTTTTGAAGATTTTCAAAGCAACTGGCAGTTGAGAAACAAAGAAGTGGATTTTTTTTCGGGTGGGGGGGGGGGGTGCTTGTTTGTTGCTTTTTTTCGGCGAAAATGGATCAACTGTCTTTTAATATAGAACCCCAGAGTTATAACACAAAAATGTACAACATCACAGCAAATCCACAATATCTGTTATCAAACTGTGTTTCCTGTTCAAATTATTCATTTCTACCCAGTCTGGTGTGTTTCTTTTTGAAAATTGCCAATAGTTTACTCAGGAGGGGAGATATAGGAAGGTCTGAGTATTTAAAAAACAGGGTCTTTTGAGTCCAGGGATGATAGGGAGACAGACAGACTGACAGAGGGACAGGGAGACAGACAGACTGACAGAGTGATAGGTATACAGCCAGACTGACAGAGTGATAGGTATACAGCCAGACTGACAGAGTGACAGGGAGACAGACAGACTGACAGAGTGATA